TATACTACACATCCTAGCGTAAGTCATATGTTAACGTGAAATATGGTTGACGTGACGTCATGTACAATGCAACCCTACACAGTACCTGTCTTTAATATGTTGATAATGTAGTGCTCAGGCAAGCTACTCGTAAATTCCAAGTTGTATGTGATCTAAATATCAGTTAGCTAAATACTCGAGCGTTCTACACGTCGTTTTCCCTCAGGTAAAAGAGCTCACTGTTATTATAAATGTATCATCAAACTCAAGTTTAATTGCTTTAGGCAGTAATGTCGCAATTAAATCATTCATTTTCTTGCGCGATTGTTACCGTTCGTGAATGATGATTTAAGTTGTTTGGATGTTGGAGAGCGTTTTCACCAATAGATTACTGAAGATTCCTAGTTATTCCACAACTTGTAACTATTTCAACTGTACCCGTTCATGAACTGGGAACTAATCCAATTGGTAATCATTTGGATTCTGTAGAGGAAATTTAGTAGATGTTAAAGGTGAACACCAATAATCATAATTACTATGCTTTGATGAGTAGATTGAGGTTTTTGCTCTGGTTACTGACAAACTCATTAATATCCGTACTAGCTAATCACATAACAGGTAGAAAGTCGTATTGGTGAGAATTTAATAGCCTATGGAACTACACAGTCAGTCAGCTACAACATAGGACCAAGCACATATGTGCATCGGTCGAAGTTGCCATACCTCATTAACACAACAAGATGAACATCAGATTCATAGAATTAGTTAATTCAGTGTTGGTAATATATAAAAGAAAGATTGCAATAAGGATATAGTACAGGAAGAAAGAATTAGTTCGTAGAAAGAAAGATATGAAGCGATTTTAATCTCATAGTTTAAGGGAAGATAGAGAGTGTATACACCGACGCCATTGTGATCGATTCTGAGCCATGTCACCCGGGGTCTTCAAACATTGGCTACGATAGTCACGCGGACCTCAACCACGTAGTCTGCATCTACTAACATGGCTAAGACTAGAAGTTAGTGACTTCAAGCACTGATGCCACGTTTTGGTTTGGCCGCCCCTAACTTTCCTCCAACCATCCTAACACTAGTCAGCATTGCGCGTCATGGTAATCGGTGTTCGGGAATACGTAACATATGGCCCAACCATCTCAGTCGATGAGGAATTTCAACCTCACCAACTGATTTACCATCATTCTTTGTTACCCTACGTCTAACTTCGCTATTACTCTCTAGGTGATCCCAGCAGATGCGAGCAAGACATATGTGATCAAACACAAGTAACTTACGTGTATCCTCATCTCTTAATGGCCACGTTTCGCAGCCTTAAAGTAAAACAGAACGAACTGCCACGCAGTATACTCGTCCCTTAATTGATAGACGGATATCTCGACTTCGCCATAGGTGACGTAAGTTGGCAAGAGCCAAACAAGCTTTTCGAATTCGTGCTGAGATTTCGTCAGACACCAACCCATTAGGGCTGCTCAGACTTCCAGGATAAGCAAAGTTGTGGACGCGTTCGACTACTTCACTCCCTATCCTTAGTTCAGGTATTGACGCAGACCAGTCCTGAAGCAAAAACTTGCATTTAGAGGGAGAGAAGCGCATTCCAAATATTCTTGCATTTTTGCTTAGTGCTACCAGAAGACTCTGCATTTTATCAGCGTCTTCATCAAACAGGACTATGTCATCTGCGTATTATAAGTCGATAAGTAGACCTGGTAGGAGATCGATGCCCAAGAATTCAGTCGACGAAAACGTTATTTCCATCAATAGGTCTATGATGAAGTTAAACAAAAATTGAGAAAGCGGACAGCCTTGACGGACACTACTTAGGGTTGCAAAAGCAGATGACAGTTCGCCATAAGCTCTGACACAACTGGTAGTGTCCGAGTAAAGAGCCTTCACAAGGTTTATGTACTTCTGAGGTATACCTTTCAATGACAGACACTGCCATAGAATCTCTCGATCAGTCAAGTGCTGCTTTTAAGTCAAGAAAGACCACCATTGTCGGACGCCGATAAGAATGCATGTGTTCTAGAACCTGACGAATGGTGAATATGTGGCCGATATAGCCGCGACCAGGTCTGCAGCCAGCCTGATTTTCTAGTGTTTGCAGTTCACGAGTCTTAGTTAGGGGGCCAATAATTATTGAGGCTAGTATTTTAGATGCTATATTAGTCAAACTAGTCCCTCTATGGTTATCACAGAATGATTTTGACCCCTTCTTATATATTGGGACAATCAGTGATTGCGACTAGCCAGATGGGATTACGTCCAACTCGCAGATCTTGGATAAAATATTAGTCAACCTAATCGCTAAAGTTGGACCACCATACATAAAGACCTCTGGAGCCAATCCATCTGGACCAGATGCTCTTCCTTGTTTCAGATTAGCAATATCTTTATGAACTTCAGCTTGATTATGAATACAGTGGTCTTGAGTGCTGTTAGAGGTATGAGGGTGGTTATCACTTCCCGGTTGCCCACACCGTATAAGGGTTCTTCTGGAGGTACCTGAAAAAGAAATTGAATGAAAGGAGGTCTTAGTGACCTGAAAGCGTGACCGCAGTGCCCAAGGGACAACTGCTTGAGATCGGTCACACATGACCTTCTTATGAGTAATTTTTGCGTTAGCTCCGTACTTGTTGAGACCCTACCGCCGGAGACGGATATCCGTGGGATAAGGCGAGGTGTGCATTTTAGGGTCAACCTTTTCTAACCCCACCCCTCCTTGTGGGAAGGCAGCATCGCTGTCATGCTGATTGTCTGAAGGAAACACCTTACTGCTGTCACACCTCTATACAGTCAGCAGTACGACCTCGGACCTTAGGTTTGTTGGTTTTAGTCTTACCGCTCTTCAACCGACCTTTCTGACATGGTAGGACCTTAAGGAACGGTTGTTCCAGCCAGTATAGCTCGGTTGCTTCATCACGATAAGCAAGCCCGACCACCACGTCAAGGTAGCAACAACGGTTGGGCTAGAGTCGGGGGACCTACCTCAGTGTTCCATTCATGCTGTCTGGGAATGGAGGGTAGTTGTAGAGTCGCTGAAGGCCAGCCGAACTGTTCCCTAAAATGTTCCGCCCATCGTTCTAAACGTCTGGACTGAGAGCAGATGAGGGTGTCGTCTTTTTCCGAAATAATCTCACTTACACTTGACTTATTAATTCCAGTTTCTTTTATTAGTCTGTAAAGCTGTCTTGTGTTCCCTATAGTCGCCGCCTTTTCCATCTCTTTTACTTTCGTTGTCCACCACTGCTCACGGTCGTTCCTTAGACTTCTGATTAACCTAGATCTGATTTGCTTTCGCTCTTCATCATGTTAAGAGCCTGATGGGATGAGTTTACGAGAACCCATCAGTTCAATAGACTTAGAAGAAATCCATTGGTTTTTTGTAACCCTTTGGTTTAAATCACTAATAGATGTCACTGCTGTTTGTATATCTTTCCAAGCAACATCTGGGTCAGATTCGTTTTCAGAGCTACCTAAGGGTGACCTCAGTTGTTCCCGGAATCTACTTTCGGGTTTCTCGTCACTCAATCCAATTCTAAAGGGACTTCTTAATGTGGCTTTTCTGCGTCCAGTGAGGCGCAAGCAAATGCGTACCAGTATTAGCGCATAATCGGAGTGTAAACATGTACTCCAGAACATGTGACAGTCTTCTATCAAGCCTCTCCAACGATGACTGATGGTAATATGGTCTATTTGAGTCCAACGTTGGTTTGGTGTAGGGGGTCGCCATGTTAGACGATATCTCTCCTTATGCTTAAAATTAGATTTTGCTAAAAATAAACGATTGGCTGAGCACAGTTGAAGCAGACGACCACCATTATCTGTCTGACGGAACTACACAGTTCCATTCCTATTTAAGTTACAAAATTTGACTCAGTAATTAGGGTATATAGCTCCTATTTTAGGGAATACTAAAGGTCACGTAAATACAGTACCTTCCAAGACATCAGAAATTAAGTCAGTACTTGCCTGCTTCGCCGGAACAGTAAAATGAATCACGTGGAAATATATGTGTCCTCTACCACCGATACCTATGAGACCAACGTTTTTTAGCTTAGACAAAACCCTCCTTACGAGCTGAAGTTTTCTTCACCATCCCAATTACCAAGGTTGATATCTACTTCAATATATCCGTAAAAACTGCATGGTTGTAAATTTCTTCGTCTTTAATACCAATAGAAATGTGCGGAATATGAAAAGGTACGAGCCTAATATACAGATGACGAAGTAACCTAACTGGGTTTACTCAGACTGCCGCTATGACTATGAAATTGATTTAGAAACAGCATATTACATGCGAAAGTCCGGTATGTAAAGAAAAAGATACCGCTGCTAACAATACTTTGGATTACAATAATCCGAAGGAAATTGGTTGTAGATTTTCCTCAGCACTAGGTCAGTAGGATTGTGATCAGACCAATCTTATCTTTAAAACTAGATGACCAAACAAACAGGAAGATTCCCCAGTCCTTCCAAAAACTTCACACTGCTTACCTTACAAATTAAGTGTCCTGAGTTTGTAAACTTCATAAAGACCTATCTTATTTTAACAAGTATGTAACAAATGAGGACTACACTTCATTAGCAATAGTTTTAGAACAAAAGCTTGTCTCATCGAACACTGTGCTTTATGAAAAGAGCCGCAGGACGTTTTCACCCGTTTAACTGGGGATGCTAGTCTTACTGTAACCGATGCCAGCGAAATAGCCGCATAAAAGGGATGTGACCCTGTTGTCAGATATTATGAAAGTTACTTTTGTCGATTTTACTATCGTATCCTAAGGGTATGTAGCCTTCTCTCTCGAATTCTCAACGGTGTCATTTTCTCTTTGGGAACAGAATTAACGCTCAAGTCAGTTGGACACTGTTCTTCAGAAAAATCCGTTCAGCTGTACTACGGAACTAACTTCCACATAACTATACGCAAGCTGTGGATTGGGCTTTAACAAATGATTATCACTAACCGCAAAAAACGGGCCCCAGTCCATTGTTAGAAGACACTATTGTTATGATAATTTTATTGATTAAATAAGCAGTTTTTCAATGCTCTGTTGAATAGAAACGACGAGAGGTTTGAGTTGCGAGCCCTCGCTATCTGTAACAGCAACGGCTGCTACCGATCTGGATACACCACAGGCACGACCCAAAGCCATTTGTGATGGGATGAAGACGTAAGGGACATTCTTATCTTCACACAGAAGAGGCAAGTGTAAAACTATTTCAAGGGGATCTATGTCGGCAGCCATTACAATAAACTCTGCTTTTCCTCTGTTAAGAGCCTTGGTCGCCTCGTTTGCACCCTTCTTAAGCTGCTTATATGAACTAGCCTGTTTGACAAGTTCGATTATTTTATTTGTTAATTCAGGACCTGCCAGCGGGTAAGCCCGTGGGTTAACACCTAGAGTCTAGCAGTAAAATCATATAAGTAAAAACCGAGCATACCATGTTGTGCACTCAAACGTGTCTCTAGACCGTGACCTTGAGAATGACTAAGACACAAAAAGATTCAAATGGTTCAAATGGTTGTGGACGGAATAGAAGAAGCTTTCGCTTAACAGGCTTCCGCGTCTAGTGGCAGGCGATCAACAAATACTCCAGGCAGGAAAATAGGTATGTTAACAATAAAAGAGGAAGAAAAATTGTAAATAATAATGTGAACTCTACGCGCTCGTTTAAAAAAGGGCAGTGATCTTCAGTCTACAGTAATGAGGATAGTAGGTTGATGAACCTGTGTTAATCCTGACACATTGCTTTCCAGTGAAGGTCCAGCTTCTTCTTGAAAGTATTCACTGATGGGGCTGATACCACTTGTTCGAGTAAGGCGTTCCAATCATTGACTATTCGATGAGAAAAACGGGACCCCACTTTAAGTTTATTAGATCCTGGTTTATGAACCTTCTTGCTATGACCTCGGAGATTATTAGTGCTGGATGGAGCAAAAAGATAAGACATTAACACCCAAATCATAATTAAAGATACGAAATGCCAGTATAAGGTCACCTCGTGTCCTACGATACGACAAGGGGAAAAGATTTAGACGTTTTAAACGCTCATCGTAAGGGAGTGTAGAAAGACCCTTCACCAATTTCGTTCTCACACGCTGGACACGCTCAAGGGAGTTAGTACCCTTCACCAGACACGGGCTAGCTGCTTGGATACAGTACTCCAAGTGTGGTCTTATATAGGTGGGATATAAAATTCGAAACGTTTCCTCGTCAAAAGATTTGAACGCCCGGCGAAGTGACCATAACGCACGAAAACCTTTGACAGCGGCTGCTTTGCAATGCGTAGTTGTTTTTAAATCATGACTTAATACTACTCCTAAGTCTTTATGCTCTTGAACGCATGGAAGAGGTTTACGATCAATAGTTTAACGGTAACTCTTTTTATTGCTCTTCAGATTTTTACGTCATCCGCAAACAATAATGTCGACGACCTAAGTAACAGCGGTAGCTCATTAACGTAGAGAAGGAAAGGCAGAGGGCCTAAGATGGTGCCTTGGGGTACACCACCTTTGACCGGCTTCCAATCGGATAGCGTTCCGTTGACCCTCACTCTCTGTCTGCGGTCACATAAGAAATTTCCTATCCACTCATGTACAGTACCTGATATTCCGAAGCTCGTGAGCTTCTGCATAAAACCTACGTGTGAAACCTTGTCAAATGCTTTGCTAAAACCTATGAATATCACATCGACAGACAGACCGTTATCTAGGGCTGCTGTCCAATCCTCCCTCGCAATAAGCAAGTTAGTCAAGCATGAACGCTTGTTACGAAATCCGTGTTGCTCAGGAGCTAACAGATTGTGTAAATTTATGTGGCTTAGCAACCTAACCCGAATTATCTTTTCGAGTAACTTAACGACTATGCTAGTTAGACTAACAGACGCTCTATTTAAAGGGACAGTGGTGTTCTTTCTCGTTGAGTTAATTAACTGTTTTGATCGTAAATTACGCATCAAAACTACTGTTTACACTTTAATTGCATCTAACCCAGTTAAAGTGATATGGTATTGAGTTTTTCGATTTTGCTTTTGTGTATTTATTGCATCGAAGCATACTTGGTCGACTTTTACTTGATTTATTTAGTTAAGGTTTGAAAATCCTTTCACATATCCTGTTTTTGTCACCGTTCTAGTTGATTTTCAAGATGGCTAGGTCTACGCATAAATGTGGACAACCATACTGCTTATTTCCCGTGGATGAAGGGATGCAATGTGATGAGTGTAATAAGTGGTTACATAAGATGTGCACCCGATTAAGCCCCACTGCATATAAAAGGTGCTCAAAGCCCAACTCTCATTGGCTTTGTAGTTTTTGTTGCTCGATTATACTTGCTTTTGGTACTAATTGCACCAAAAGCATTCTTGGTCTACTTTAACTAAAAGTACCTTGGTTAAATTTTGAAATTTTTTGCTAAATTTCGTCCTATGTACCTTTTTTTACCCCTAGACTAACATTTGTGTTCACATTGTGATCATTGTGTTTTTTTAAACCTTTTAAATCTAATTACAATGGTTGGTAAGACTCACAAATGTGGGCAACCAAATCGTTTGTTCCCCGTTGAGGGAGGAATGCAGTGTGATGACTGTAAAAAGTGGTACCACAAAATGTGTACACGCCTAAGTCCGATGGCATAGAAAAAATGCTCGAAGCCTAACTCGCATTGGCTTTGTATGTTCTGCTGTACGGATAAAAAGGTACTAATTCAGGAGGCTGTGGGCCTATTGGCTTTGGCCTGCAAGAAAGACGATGACACATGCGCTGACAACACCGGCACTGACAGTGACGATTGTGTCAGTGTAGTACCTGCGGTTACGCGACGCCTCAAACAACCGACTCTGAACGACGCAAAAGTGAGATCGCCGTTAACATTAACAAGGGGAGTAATACCACCTGATACTGACAGTGATAACAATGCACCTTTAGTGGGAACCGACGAACTGGATAAAACCATCACCTTTCCAAATAGTCCCAATGTCCTAAGGGGTGAAAAATGGACTACGGTACGTAGGAAACGAAAGGAAAAAAGCTGTAGGCAGTACACAGGTAGTTATTAACTCACTGATGGACTCTCATTGTGAGTCGCATACCGCACTACCAAAATCTGATGGTAAGAGTGAAACCCATCATGGCGTGACTGAGAAGAAAAATCAAATAACAGCTAAAACTAATGACTGTTTACTTGATAAGTCCTTGGTGGACTCTCAGACCAATCCGCCAAAGCTCCAAAGTAAAGCTTCGTCTAACACAGTTGTGAGTCACTCACAGGACTCTGTTACAATAAAAGCTAATCGTGAGATAGCAGTAGTTAATATACAGGATCTATCGTCACGGTCGAAAGCTGTTAACACAGTTTCAAAGGAAGCTGAACCCCTCCCTAGTTTAATTATTTGGAATCTAGAGGAGTCGAAAGACAACGACACTGCCAAGAGACATGCCCATGACCTGCAGTTAGTGGAGTCTGTGGTAATAAACGTACTACCTGAAGAGGTTCCAGGGGTACATATTACAAAAGTAATACGACTTGGTAAATCGGTTGGAGGTGAGACTCAACCAAGAAGAATCCTGAAGCTGGTTTTCGGGAAATTCGAAGAGAGAGATATAGTGTTGAAAGACGCACAGAAAACCCGTGATTCAAATATTTGTATCCGACCTGATTGGCCGCTTGAGGATCGAATCAAGTGGAAGAATGCTCTTACGGAGTTGAGGACTCGCAAATTAAATGGCGAAAATAACCTTACCATTAAGGGTTTTCGGGTAGTCAGGTCTTGGAAGCCAATGCTTCCGAGGCCTGTATGAGTAGAACGATTGATTGCCAAAACACCTTAAGTATGTGCTACACGAACGCTCGTGGTCTTAGAAATAAAACGTCCGAGCTAAGTCTGATGGTGCAAGAATTATGTCCCGATATAATCGTTGTTACAGAAACTTGGTTCACCGTTGATATAGACTGTTCTCCTTTCATTGCAGGCTATATCTGTTTTAGAGGTGATAGAGTTTCAAGTCGCAAAGGGGGATCACTTTCGTATACAATCAACAATATCGGAGGCCCATATCAGTGGCACATGTGAGGTCGCATGTTGTAAGATTAAATCTAGAAATGGGTTAGTGACTATAGGGGGAATATACCGTAGTCCATTTTGTCTTGCTGACGACTTTATCCTAAGACACATCTGTTCTTGGAGTATGGCAGAGTGTTGTCTCATCATTGGGGACTTCAACACACCGCATATCAACTGGATAGATCTTACAGCTGCAGGTAGTGGTTTCGATAGTGACCTTTTATCTACCGTTATTCAGTGTGCACTTGTACAATGTATCACAAAACCGACACATATTGATTTCAATCATGATCCGTCACTGCTGGAAATCGCCCTCACCCACCACTCTGAGGATGTCCTTGATATTCAGCACCTTCCCCCACTAATGAACAGTGATCACGTTGTAATTCACTATAAGTTTAGGACACATGGTATACAATGCGTATCTGCTCCACCCCGTCCCAATATCTGACGAGCTAATATTCCGACGATCAGAAACTGTGCTACCTCGACTGATTGGTCGGTCGACGCGGATCGATCGATCGAAGATGAATGGAATAAGTTTAAGGCTACATTCGAGCCGGTAACGTTGCCGTTTATCCCATGGTCAGCACGTAAGCTATCACACTGCCCTCCATGGATTAATAAGGAAACCCGGAAGCTGTTAAAGCGTAGGAAACATTTCTGGGACTTATTCTTGTTGACAGGTCATGCACCATTTAAGCGTGAGTACCGAAAATTCCGGAATATTTGTAAGAAAACCATAGCTAAATCCCGTACTACTTGCGAACGACAACTGGTATATGATAACCGTACTTGTCCGAAACGATTGTTTTCGTATGTTAAACGACAAATGAGACGTAGTGATGCTATTTTCCCGTTACTGTGACACGAAAATTCAGAATTACTAGCTGAATCAGATCGAGCAAAAGCTGAGACTTTTTCAAACTATTTCAGCGAAATCTTCTCTACGTTTATTGTAACAAATACTTGTCCCACTCACACCGAGATACCAACTATTGAATCTGTACACGTAACTGAGGAAGCTGTCCCTCCATTGATAACTAACCTGGTAAGATACCGAGCCCTGACGGGTTACATCCACGGTTGCTGTCATCTCTTGCGGACATTATTTCAAAACCGCTTGCGACACTCTTCAACATGTCCCTCTCACTCGCTCAACTCCCTAAAGATTGGAAGGACGCTATAGTCAGTCCTATATTTAAGGACGATCAGCGACAGATAGTATCTAACTACCGGCCTGTCAGTCTAACTAGCATAGTCGTTAAGTTACTCGAAAAGATAATTCGGGTTAGGTTGCTAAGCCACATAAATTTACACAATCTGTTAGCTCCTGAGCAACACGGATTTCGTAACAAGCGTTCATGCTTGACTAACTTGCTTATTGCGAGGGAGGATTGGACAGCAGCCCTAGATAACGGTCTGTCTGTCGATGTGATATTCATAGGTTTTAG